TAAAAAAAAAAAAAAAAAAAAAAAATATTAGAGTTCCCCACCTTCAGCCAATTTCCATTGTTCCGTTAATTCATTTTCTAATTGCACTATTCCGATTATTTTTGCGTCCATCATACGATCTGAATTTACATGCAATTTTGCATCTTCAATATTATATGCGGTTGAATGATATTAATGTTTTGCTTTCTAATGATTTTTAAAATAATTAATATATTATTGATTCAATTCTGTATATATATATATATATTGCGTCTTTTAATATAATAATTGAAATTGAAATAATGTAAAAATTTAGATTAAAATTTAAATTATATCACTTAGATAGCTTTTTAATTGTGAGAAGGATATGTTAAACAAAAAATATAAAATATAATTCGAGATGCAAAAAGTTGACATCATCCAGCCAGAATCCATCACGATACACTCCGCAATCGCTTTACTCATGATTCTATCCATGAGATTAATTTATCGCTCTCGGTCACGTCTCCGCCATCATTGACGATCATCGTTCATGATTTCAGTTCTCGCAGTGGTTACGGTCTCAATCCGGTCAGACCGCCTGATTCGCGGAAATGGACCGCTAATTGCAATCATCTGCAATCGCCGTTCCGCGCCGGAGACCGGCAGCTTATTATCAATCGCTGCCTCGTCATAGCTTCACTGCATCATCGATGGATTTCCACTGGGTAGGGAATTCTGTCCGGGAATCGAACCAATCGGCGGTCGATGCGACGCGTTGAGGTCAGCGTGCTGGGTCTCGCGGTGCCTCCTCAGGTCGACCTTTCGTTGAAAAGCCCGGCCGCATAGCTCGCAGGCGAACGGTTTGAAGCCCGTGTGCTTCCTCGAGTGCGTGATCAGGTTGCTGCTCTGCGAGAATGCCTTGCCACACACTTGGCACTTATGAGGTTTCTCTCCTGGAACAAAAAAAAAAAAGATAAAAATGTTTAGAGAAAATAAATTTTCAGGCTAATTAAATTTTCAATGGGTTGATATTCGAATATATTTATGTGTAAAACAAGAAGTTATTTAATTGCAAATATCTTTTCAACTACTCAAAAATTATAAAACTGTTTTACTTAAAAAGTTAAAGTTTCTTGCTTTTTGATAATTAATTCTTAAATAATTTATATGGACAATAATTTAACAATCTCTAATTATCTAGTATCCATTCGAATCTGTCCATTCCGTCGAAAGCTAATAGTATGATGTGTTACATAATATGATCGGAAATAAATAAATAATAAATAAAATCGAACAATATTGGAGAAATCCAAATACAAAAATTTTTTGCAGTATTTCTTCAATCGACCGTTTTATCGATTTTTTTTCTGAAAATTTATCGATGCTGACATAAGGTGTCATGCTATCTGGACTATCTACAAAAGATACTTTATCGTTGAGCGTAACTTAAAGGAAAAATCGGAAAACTCCTTTAGCATCATTCAGTTTTTCTTTTACGTCGTCTGCCACATTCCAGCAAGCATTCACGTTAATCTCGAAGTACCGATTCTCAGTGCCGCCGGCTGTTCGGTCAAGACTCTCCTCGGGCAAAAGGAGAAACCATAGGGGGAGAAGAGGATGGAAGGCACGGAAGGCTAGCCACCTCGCAAGACGGGTGTAGGTGGCATCAGCGATGCGGGGCACGCCCGGTTAAGATTTCCTCCCAAGCGAGAATCTCAGCCACCCCGGCGGCGAGAAAAGGCAGCGAGCGAGACAGACGGAGAGAAGAGCGAATGGAGTGGAAAGGGGTGCCTATGTGCGCCGCTCTAGGGGTTCGTTGTCTCTCAGGGGCGAGGGGAGAATCCCCGGTTGGAAGGGTCGCCGCTCGTTTCTCTCATCCTGGCCGCGAGCTCTGATTGGCGGCCAGGGGCGGCTCCAACCCCCGTGTTACCATGACTACCGGCGGGATAACCCGGCTGCTGCTGACTGAGGGTAGTTAGAGAAAGAGAGAAAGAGAGAGAGAGAGAGACAAAGAGGCTGTCTGCTGCTGAAGGGTGGTGGTGGCACGACGACGATGCGAACTACGCCGCCGGCAGGTAACGGAGGGCCCGTTAATGGACTCCCCGGTACGTCCATACGTCTAGCCGAGCAACCGGTACACACGTATGTACACCCTCATCCTCCCGGCATCGGCACGACGACCGGGCGGAGGGTGGATCCATAAACAACTCGTTAGCCGAGCCTTCAATCTCGCCCCGCCGATACGACGGGGCCGTCGATCGCCCTCGCGATTATACCCGGTCCGCGATCTTGATTTCCTATCCAGGAAAAAATATCGGCTGTTCTTTTCCGGTGTTTTCTCGAGATCGGACGTGCTGATCCGTATCCAGGAAAATGTAGTGTCTTTCCCGAAACATTCGAATCAACGCAAAGTAATACAATTATCGATTATTTATAGTTTAGAATTCTTTACACAATTTCACATTTGATTATTTTCACATTTGCATTTCATGTGTAACAGGTAAACTAAAATATTAAGTTTGATTTACGTTTTCTGTGTTTCAACTAATATTTTATTTTATTAAAATCTTTTTTTTAACTTTTTATCCTGGCCGCGAGCTCTGATTGGCGGCCAGGGGCGGCTCCAACCCCCGTGTTACCATGACTACCGGCGGGATAACCCGGCTGCTGCTGACTGAGGGTGGTTAGAGAAAGAGAGAAAGAGAGAGAGAGAGACAAAGAGGCTGTCTGCTGCTGAAGGGTGGTGGTGGCACGACGACGATGCGAACTACGCCGCCGGCAGGTAACGGAGGGCCCGTTAATGGACTCCCCGGTACGTCCATACGTCTAGCCGAGCAACCGGTACACACGTATGTACACCCTCATCCTCCCGGCATCGGCACGACGACCGGGCGGAGGGTGGATCCATAAACAACTCGTTAGCCGAGCCTTCAATCTCGCCCCGCCGATACGACGGGGCCGTCGATCGCCCTCGCGATTATACCCGGTCCGCGATCTTGATTTCCTATCCAGGAAAAAATATCGGCTGTTCTTTTCCGGTGTTTTCTCGAGATCGGACGTGCTGATCCGTATCCAGGAAAATGTAGTGTCTTTCCCGAAACATTCGAATCAACGCAAAGTAATACAATTATCGATTATTTATAGTTTAGAATTCTTTACACAATTTCACATTTGATTATTTTCACATTTGCATTTCATGTGTAACAGGTAAACTAAAATATTAAGTTTGATTTACGTTTTCTGTGTTTCAACTAATATTTTATTTTATTAAAATCTTTTTTTTTAACTTTTTTACGAAACACAAGAGATTCTTTAATAATCTTTTTTTTTTTCTGGAGAGTCATACATAAAGAAAAATAAATAGAATAAAATCTAAATTATATAATAGAAAAAAGTTTTCACTCTATTATATTAATGCTATATATATTAATTTATTGCAGGACATATTATTGGATAATGTAACCATTTTTTGGTTGGTTTTATATTAAATTAACAGAAACATTATTCGTTTTTACGTAATCTATCAAGTTTGCGTATCGCACACAACGCTTTATCGTAGTCATTTTATGCGAATATCAGCCGCATAGTTGCGCTTACCCTTCGGATCAAGATTCACGCGCGGATTCGGAGTTAAAGACGCGCTTTCATTGGAGGGGAAAGAGGGGTATTGTAGGAATCCGACGAGTCCGCCGCTCGATGAAATTCCACAGAGTTCTCCGCGGACCCAAGGGGTGGGACGAAACGGATAGAATTTTCGCGGAGTTAAGCGCCGGTGGAAGCCAGGACGGGGCTGAAAGAGCGCAGGGTGGCCGTTTAAAATTTATGAGCTCGTAAAATCAAGAACCGTCCGAGCGCTCGCACCGAGGTTGCCCGTTTCGCGTCTATATCGCAACGACTTTGCCATGGTTACGGAATATCGTTTCTGCCAGACTACCCGAAAATCCAAAGTCTCTCGCTCTCAATCGCTTTCACACTCGACTGATTCGTAAATAGATTGTGGAAATACATTTGTTGCATATCTAATAAAATAAATAGAAAATAAAATTTTATCCTAAATGTAGAGATTTAACAAAAGTAGTTTCCTTCAAATTTTCTGTGAAAAAGATCGACTTTATACTCGGAAAAGAATTTGTTATTAATTTTCGGGAGTTTTGAAATAGCTTCTACTTATAGTACACGCGCGCGAGCATTGTATTTTATTCAGTGGTATACTCATTACAGTTTGCTATTCAGTGATAATGCCACTAGTTTTGTCTTTTTATATTGTTGATATAGCTAGCGCAAATTGCTGCATTTTTAGTGGCCGGGAGGATATTAGGTTCCACATTTATTCGTGACAGAGAGAGAGACAGAGAGCGAGAGAGAGGGTGGCACTTTAAAATATCATTTTCTTGAGAAAACGAAGGATTAAGAGGTTGGGAGAGAAAGAAGGAAAAGAAGAAGGACGATAATGTGTAGAAATGGGACGCCGAGTCTACTGGGATTCTCGTTTCTCGGAAACGAAGTAAAGAAGAGAAAGACAGGGCAAAAAGAAAAGGAGCCACCGGAAATTTACGCGCTCGTAAAAATCAAGAGCCGTCAGAACTCTGTTAGATCCGTCGGGTTTATTTCTTCGATGGAATTGTCTGTCTCAAAATAACCGCGTTAATAAATTCGTTGGTAGCAACGCGTTACCGAGATAATATATTATCTCATGTAACAGGATTAAACATTGCAAATATTATTACTGATTATTGATGGATTATTTTAATAATTAATCTTTCTCGAGTGAAAATTTTATCGGATTTTGTACAGATTATTTTACTTGTTCACGAAATTTATGGATGCCAATATTTTCTTGCAAGGGAATAAACAAGGGCAATGCAGCTTCAGAAACGTGACCGAAAGGATGATCGATGATCAATAATATTTCAAATATGAGTCTGAAATTCCAACTATGAGCGTGAACGAAAGAATTTCCGAAAGAAGGAATAAGGAAAGAGAAAAATAAAGAAAATTGTCGGCGAAAGCAGAACGTGATCATATATACTCGTGAGAGAAATGTCAAAATGGATTTTAATTTTTTGGGTATGTGTATCATAAAATATTTATCAGTTATAATACATAAATTTTATAATCGATTATATGTATGTGTGCAATATTATAGCAATTTGTGGAACATAAATCTCCTAAATCTTTCAAAATTTCTTGATTTTATTCACAAATAAAGAAGAAAATTGTGTTCATATGCACAAAATTGCATAATATAAATTATATAAGATCTATTTAAGAATTCTTTCACAGCACACACGCATACACAATTAACAAGTTAATCGAGGTTTAATAGATAAAAACCTGATGCAAAAAATAAAAAAAAAAACTCGGATGATATTAAGAGCTGATATTCGATAATATAATCTGATTTATATTATTATAATAGTATTTTTAAATATAATTATTCAAATTTTATATGTATTGAAATGATTAGCATACATTTGACAATTTTGCATTATGACAACTTAGTTTTTATAATACACATCATTTTTTATAACACGTCAATTTTCAATATGTGATTGGTAATCGTGGATCGTAAATTGTGGGAATAAATTCGCCGAGAATAGAGGGATTTTCAAAAGAAAAGCATACTGGTGTGTGTTGAAAAAAACCGAGCGTTTCTCGTGGAATTTACGCGCTCATAAAAATCAAGCACCGTCGGAGCGTACCTTATCCGTCCTTATCCTTTATGCGAGAAGTGCACCGGGGTTTCGATCTAAATGCACACGGGATGCATTCTCCGCCGCGCACGTACACGTGGCCTTCGAGTAGTGGTGAGATCAAAGATTTAACCGGCGGCGGCAGTTGAGATTCGACGCTCGCGAATTTTTAACAGCGGAGAATTGGCGAGCTGAGGCCGGGCTTGGGGCTGACTAAGGTCGAGGAGATTCGTGGCTGAGAGCCCCTGAGGTTTAAGACG